GGGGGGGGGGGCGACAGAGAGAAAGTGATTGAGGGGGGGAATTGTTGCTGGCTGTGCCATGGTGGTGTTGAGCCGGTGTTGGTGGGTGAACGTCATGTTCTGCGTGTTTGCATCAAACAACAGAACGCGTGGTGGTTGCACGAATGATGGGTTCTTCACAGAAAGTTTTGGTTGTTGATTTCTGCAGGTAGGCACGACAAGCGATACGCACTTATGTACTTGGCGAAGCAACTCGTCAGACAAGACCAAGAAAACACAAGTACGACGAAACGCGGCCGGAGTACGGTGCCCACCAGACGCGGATAAACACCTATCTTTCTCGTACTTCTACGTGCTAACTGGGCGTTGGTGCACCGTAGCCAGCACACTTGTAAGGAGACTCGTGAAAAAGACTGATGATAGCGTCTTCACCACGTTGGTACACATGTCAGGAGTGCCAAGAGAGGACGCCAAGGCTACTACAGTAGGTGGCCCGGTATAATGCCGGCGGTTGACACCCGATTTCACCGGCATTACGGTGTAGCGGGAGACCGGCATTATATGGAATCGGCCCCAATAATGCCGGTTCCCGGCATTACTGAGGGTCTGAGAATTCCGCTATACTGCCGGTACTGGCACTATGTACGAAACCATCGAGCTACTCAATACAAAAACGTGTAGTGGATGCTGCGACAGGAGGTTTGGTAAGCATTCCCGTGATCGAGCAGATTTCAGAGACGCGTGCACCGAAGGGCCGTATGTTCGCTCATCCCTCCATGCATCTTTGGTTCTACCCCGAACTTTTTTTTTTTTTGCAGAGCAGTGTCTCTGCGCACGCACTCTTCCTTAACGCAAAATCTTCACCTCTGGTGCCTTCCCGTCACTCGCAAAAAGACATGTAAATTATATCGTACGCAATTATCGAGAAAGCAAAGCAAAGCAACAAACAACGTACGAAAATAAAACATCTGAACACATCTGAACACACCCATGTACGATGTACGTGCCGCATAACCGACGAATACTTGCTCACTCAGAACAAGAAAAAAAAACACAGGAAATCCAAGCAGAAAGTGTTCAAGCAATCTTGAGAACCGGCAATATTCACGAGGCGCCAACCCCCCAAAACCGGCATTATACCGGCTTGAAGTTGTGCCAGCCGATATCACCGGCATTATAGCGAGCAACCGGCATTATACCGGGCCACCTACTGCTGTATACTTATATTGTAACTGGGTGCAGGCAGTGTTGGCAACAACATCGCGAGAGGGAACGTGAGAGCGCGAGCACAACGCACCTGTCGCCGCGAGGAGGCCCGTGTCGTCAAGCGCCACCCCCCACACCGCCCCCTTGTGCCCCACGAAGGTCCCGATCCAGTCTCCGGTAGACCCGTTACGGATCATCGGGGTCTTGGCTGACGGGGTGTTTTTCGGAACGGTTTCGGTTTGCACGGCGGTTACAGATGGAGAGCAAACAGCGACAACATCAAGAACAGGGGGGAACATGCTGCGGCGAAACCGTTTCGCCTCATGATGGCTTTGCTATGAACAAATCTCAATCGCAAAAAAAAGGCATGATTGTTTCATCCAAGATTCCCACGCCAGTTTTTCAAAATTAGCTCTGCTGGAAACCCAGAAAAGGCTTTGTATGGTACCATGCTTCTATTGACCAATCAGAGCTCATTTTTTTAATCCGTTTAGATTCGTCGAACATCGTTAGTACGCGATCTTCGCGGATGAACACATAATGTCATCACATAGGCTCCCTTGAAGCACTTGAACTATGTACGGCAGGGTTTTGTCGAGGGTGAGGTGTTCATGTACAGCTTGGTCCCATTTTTCCCGCGTCTTTCCCGTGTCTTTAAGTTTCAAAGCTTAATCCTGCCGCGCAGTTGCTCTCTCGGCGATACATCACATGGAAAATGGAAAGTCTCTCTGGCCGTTAAAAAAACAAAAACTCGTAACAAACGAAGGAATACCCCCCCCCCCCAGAACAATCGTGTCTTGGGAATACGAACAGAGCGGGCCGGGATATACACGCGGTGTGCGCCTGCCCTCAAATCTTCCCTCGTGCACAAATCGAGCGCCCGCGGCACGTTTCGGCCTTTTTCGTCTCTCTCCCCTTCCCTTTAGCGGATTGTCCGCTTGTTTTTTATTTCGGGTCATCTCTCTTTCATGGTAAAATTAACGGCACAGGGGAAGAGAACACGCGGCATACACGCCTGCTCTCAACATGTACCCTCGTGACACCCATCCGACTGCGGTGGCACGTTACTCTCTGTCCCGTCTGTCCCCCTCCACGCCAGGCCCACCGACATTTTCCTTGTTGTGCGTACAATAAGGCCATCTTGTTCTCCTTCAAGACACGAAGACTGCTGTCCTCTCACTCACCATGGCAACCACTGATCAGGAAGGTTCCGTCCGGCGTCTCCGGGCAGTAGGAGACCTCTGCCAACGGACGGGAGTGCCCTGGGCACACGATCGGGATCTGTCTCGCTGCTGCCGCGGGTGCTGCCATCTCTCTCTCTCTCTCTCTCTCTCTCTCTCTCTCTCTCTAACAAAAACTTTCTATTAGGCTCTTGAACAAGACTCCTGGCTGGACCGATCACGAGTTATAATCTAAGTCTACTACGGATACCACAACGAGACAGAGAGAGAGAGGGGGGGGGGGAGAAATTTATACAACGGGGCAGAGAACACGAGTGAGCAGTGAGAGAGGATGGATGCCAGCCAGCACAGGAGCAACGCTCCCAGGGGCCCCGCAATGGAGAATTTTTCTCTAACATGGTACCCTTTTTTTTCGCTTTTTATGTCACGGGGCACATGTGACATATGTCCAGCACCTCAACACCAGCACAAGCCGATCCATAAGCCATTGTCCTGCTCCGCCTTCTCCATTGTCCGGTGGTTGACCAATGCTGCTATTCCACCTCGTGGGTGGTTTCCTCTTGGTGTCGTTTTGGCATTCTGCCGGAGCTTTCCGGACTGGCGCGGCCTTGGCGCAGCGAGGCTGCGAAAGGACCAGCGGCAAACATGACAGAATCTGCCGTGAAATTGAACCTTGTTCTGCAGGGCGGCGATCGCTCAGTGCTGACGCATCTAAAGGGGGGTGGTGCGCTTCGCCTCAGGATAGCACCAGCGGCCCCAGGGAAGCTCTTGCAGCCACAAGCAGCGCTGCTGTTGCAACCATGGCTGGTAGCAGCACGGAGGCTGTTGGGAGATGCGGTGCAACTGCTGTGTCGCTGACTCGAAATCAGCTGCTTTCCTCGATGGCGACCGCGGCCGCGGGGTTCCTGTTGGCACCACGGCAAGCCTCAGCAGCAGATGTGGAGACAACGCTGGTGTCGGAAGCAGCGAGCACCGGGCCTGCGGCAGGGCAGGGGGAGGTCGGTGGGGGTGTGGAGGAGGTGGCGGCGGCGAAGTACGTCGTGCAATCTGACGAGGTAAAGTGGAAAACGGTTTTTCGTCAAGAAGGATTCAAGTGTGCCATGATTACGTGCGGTACTACAATAATAGCTTCTCTCAAGCTGTGAGGATCATCCACTGCAGATCCCGAACGTTTGCCAACAGACCCAATCGCCACAAAGTGGTAGGTAGACATGACAGCCCACGGACTTCGGCCGGGAGTCTCACGGTCGACAGCCATCCTTGATGGCTTGCTTGCCAATTGACGACACCAACCCCGCTGGGCAACTGGTCAAACCTCTCTGCAAGGGCCCAACACTTTTGAAACGCATTCGACGATCTAGATGGATAGCGTCGCACAAGTAGCGCCGGCAGTGAACAACTTGGCACATAATGAAGAAATTGACATAGCCTCTAAACTCAAAATCTAGAACTACCACCTTTGTGAGCTGACGTCTACACTATAACCTATATACCTCATTCGTAGCGGAACCCTAGTATCCCAGCCTCGGCCGAAACTATACAGAGTTTCTCTACAGTAGGTCGGGCGCCTACTGCTGTAGACCGACACAACAGTGTTTTTTCGTTGGTGGGACAGGTCGGCGTGCTCTTTGGAGACGGGCCCATCGGCATCAAGCTCGGAGACAACCCTCTCAAGGCTTCGGGGGTTTGCAGGGTCTACGTTACGGAGGTAAAGGCCGGAAAAAAGGTGGCAGCGTTTATACTACTATTATATAATATATATGGGGGTGTTTGATTTAGTTAATTGTTTTTGGGTTTAATTAATTGTTTTTGGGTTTGGGGAGTACATATGGAGGCAGGATCAATTATTTCGGACGCAAGCGCCTTGCGGTCGACGCTCGTTGGCCATGTGCAAAAATCGCCAAAGTCGGGGGAATCGAACTCAAGGCGGGTAAGCTCACGGACAGATGTCTGTCCCCTAGCAGCCAACAACCAATGGGGCGGGAGGGGGGCAGGAGACGGACGAGACGGCGAGGGAAGAAAGCAAACGAGAAGAGACGGACCGAGTGGCACGACACGTGCCGGATTGAATTTCTTTTCGCCAATTCCCCCCCCCCCAACGCTGCACCATTGCACCAACCCCCCACTAGTAGTGATTTCGTACCACTACAATGTATCGCTGGTTGGTGGCCATGTTTGCGTGTTTGCTTGTTCGATTAGTGGTCTCTCCACCGTGTGCCTTGTTCTGCCTCATACTTCCTGTTATTTTCGGCCTGGTCCCTCTTTGTCCTCGCCCTTTTTTTCATTTTTTCATTTTATTTTCATTTATTTTCTCTTCTCCTTACGGTTTCCATTTTTATTTTTTCTCCTTTTTTTTCTCTTTGTCCTTTTTTTTCTCTCTTTTTTTTTTCTCTCTTTTTCTGTGCCAGATGGACTTGTCTCTGCTTGCGTTGTGAAGTACCAAGATTGAACCAAGGGAGTGTGCCTCTTTCTCTCCGGCCCATGATAGATAGTGACTGCTAATCTCAGTTGATACCCCGCATAGCGTGAAGAGGGAGCGGAGGATCCCAGAATATCTGTCGTTGATTTCTATTGACTTGCGGACCCCTCGGGGCCAGTTTATTTGAGTGTACCTTTTTAGGGTAAGTTAACCTGTGACCACGGGAATCGACCGCGTCGAGTGTTGGATCAGTACGGACATACGAAGGTACTGGGTAGAGAGAGATCGGAACGGTTTTTAATGTGAAGACAACAACAACAACAACACACGCGCCCCACACTTCGATACAATTTATGGTGAAAAACTCCTTTCTCAACAGCAAAAAAACAACGAATAGCCTTGGTACCAGGTGTCAGTCAGTGCAGCCCGGCTTCTGTATGAGCGAAATCGTGTATTGTACGGAGGAACAGTTCTTCTACGAATCTCCTCTCACACTTGCCACTGCTCTGGCATATTTAATTAATCCATACAATCTCAAGTAATTAAGCAATTTTCGGTTTTTAGGAGACGATAATTAATACCACAAAAAAAAACTTGGTTTAATGCGGTGTAATTAGCAGGCGACCACGGTTCTTCTAGATACTCATAGTTTCTACGGCAGAACTAGCAGACGACCACGGTTCTTTTAGATACATAGGCTCGGCTCACACAGCAGAACATGGGATGCAATCAGCTAGGGCAGTAGCACTTTTTTCGCCCACTGCTGTTCGGGAAATTGGCTGGAAAGGAGAAACGTAATTTTAGGCCTCGTGGGGTAGTTTAGTTTAGTGGGGGAAAAGAGGGCCCCCTAGCCTGCGTTGGTTGATGGCAACGTTAGTCCATTGCGACGTGCACCACCACTTGGCTCGTGAGACTTGTGTGGGGCACTCGGCATCAGTCACTCGCGGTGTAGTATCAGCAGCAACGGCAGGACCCGCAGACGGGTAGTATTTCCAATCCTGGCTTTACTTTTCGTAAGCGTGCATCGTGTGAGTCCCTTTGCGTGGGGATCGTTACGGCTTACTAACTCGTGGTACCACATATCGCCGCTGCGAAATAAGATTCATTTCTGCCTCCATCCACGAAGGCGGTAAACGCCAGATGCAGCATGAGAGGCAAGGCGCGTGAGACTCGCGATCCGACGTTCCCAACAACGCCATAAACGCTGCTGCGTCTCCTATCTCTGTGCGAAAAATTAAGGTGCTAACGGGATCGCAAGCGATACGCCAAGCAAACCTCCGAGCAGGGTTCGGGGTGGCCGCGGTGGGGGGCAAGCCTGCGGAAAGGCTTGAGCCGAAGGAGGTGGCGGAGCTCATCCGGTTGTCGCCTCGGCCCATGGAGATCGTCTTCAGGTGCGAGTCTAACCCCCCGAGATGCTGGGCACCTAGTTCGAAGTACGATTTTTCAGGCCACAGGGTGCTTGTTTCACGCAGGGTTTACACCAAGAGAGGCCGCCTCCTCAAAGTTAGGGCTTACCGTATTTTTTGTAAAGGGCGCTGTCGTTCAGCCCTGCAAGCACGCCGAACGGGTTGGTTGCGTAAGCTGTGAATGTTTTTCGCGAGTGTAGTAGTGACCATGTCGTCTCGCCTTATATAAACTTGTGGCCAATGTGAGTCCGCTGCTTCTGCCAACGCTGCTTCTGCCGACGCTGTTCGTACTCGAATACGGTTCTCCTTCTCTCCTTTTGGTCTTAAAAAGCGCGGGTGCATGATCTTTGTCGCAGTGGCATTCGGCCACGCCTTGCGGGCGGGGCCGACTTCTGAGAATGGGGTCGATTTCACCGGCACCCAACGCCCTCTGTGTGATAATCGCGTGTCCGTGTTATCTTCTCTCGGTGTTGTTTTCTTGGCAGGGACCCCGAGTTGCTTGGTCGACGACTGCAAGCCGAGGTGGGCAGAGCGGAGGCGTGTTTTGTAGTGAAACTGTCGCGATGCAAGCCTCGGTCGTAGCCAACATCTTGTGTAGCTTCCTGCGGACGAGGACAGGGCGCTTGAGTGGCGACCAGTGGTAGCAGTTAGGTACAGCAGGATCTGGCGTTCCCCGATCGAATCCAACCGCTGATCTTCACGCACGGGGAAGACAGAAAAGGGACCCACGGCAGTGCTCCATGACCCTAACTTGACCTGATGTTCTTTTTCTCGTGGCTGTTCCGTCGAACACCCAGGCAGACAGGAAAGCGGAGGCCGTGAAGCGGAGAAAGCAGAAGGCGGCCGCCGACGCGGCATCCCCGGAGACGGCGGCTCCGGACACGGGAGATTCAGCAACAGCGACGACGGCCGTTGACCCTCGCAGCGGCAGCGTCGGCAACGGCGGCGGCAGCGCCTCCTCGGGGGAGCTGAGGGTGACGCAGGTGGGCAAGAAGCCGGAGGTGTGCGGCACAAGGACTAAGGCGGGCGACTTGATCGAGTTCAGGTGCGGCAGCAGTTTTTTCTTTTGGCGGACGACGGTATCCGGCCTATAGTGAATTAATACATAGCGGGCATCCAGCCTTCGCAAATGTTGCGATTGTTTCCTCTCGGTTCTGTTCAGTTTCGGATTTTGACTTTTTCTTGGGTGCTGGTGGTTCTCTTTTGGTGTTATTTTGGGGGGCTTGCGCCCTGTACGTAGGCAGCGGTCAACGGGGATCGGCAGACGGTACCGCCAGTGGGTGATACGGGTACCTGTGGATATTTCGATATTTCCTCATGTCCGTCTTCGTGTTTTCCCTTTGTACCAGTACCTTCCCCATGACTTCCTCTTCCCCTATCCTTTTTTCCGTTGGTTCATCCTTGGATTGCTGGAGCACGTAGCAGCAGGGTTTGCCATTGTTGCTAGTTGCCTTAAAGTTACTCTTGGAAGGTGTTTTTGTTTTGTGTGCCTACACCGCCATATGGTGGAAATAAAGGTGTGGTCTTCGGTGCAAAGTGAGGGTGTTGGCACACTCAAATTTATCGGTTCTCTGCTTCTGCCTGCTTCTGCTGCCGCATGCGGCTGCCGGTGCGGATGCTGATCGAAATTCCCGGACCGACTTAATTCAGGTACTCTGCACGCTTGGCGAGCGATCTGTCGGTGGAGTTTGATTCCAGCGACCGCAGGGGGACGGGGCTTCCATATGCGATCGTCCTGGGGAACGGCGATGTGAGACTACAACCCCGACTCATGTTTCCGACAGTGTGAGAGGATGCACTCGTGCGAAGGGGGAAAGCATCTGGTAGAGAGTATACCACCCTTGCCGTGCATTCACGGACCCCCCGTTGCCCCCTACGATATTCCCCATCTTTACGATCGCCATCGCGCCTTTACCGGAGTTGTAGGGTTGGTGATCGTCTGCTAGGTTTCGTCCGCGCAGTGGTTATTCTTGCGGAGCAGAACACTTTGCTCTTCCTCTATTTTTTACAGGTGGTAAAAGGGTTGGATTTGTCACTGTTCGACATGTGCGTCGGCGAGCGGAGAAAGATAGAGATTCCTGCCCGCCTGGCTTACGGGAGGAAGGGGAGCAAGGCCTTCGGAGTGCCTCCGGATGACGGAACGGTGAGAGAAACAACCAGCACACATTGGTGTGCCCAACAAGCAGGAACATTTGCTTCGTGTTGAATGCAGGTCCGTTTTCCCTGTGGTTATCGTTCTTTCGGTCGTTCATTCCATCCCATCACCCACCCACCCCCCCCCTGTTTTCGGTGTCCCATAACCTTCGTCCATGCCCACCGGTACTTCTCCACACGTGACAACGACGACGGCTTCAAAAAAGGGCTCCGCCGACGTAGTGTTCGGGGTTGAGCTCGTGAGCATCAACTTCTCGATCAACGCGTCGGACGCGAGGGACAACTTCTACACGGACGATCCTTGCGACGCGGCCGCCGTCGCCGCCGGAAACGCCAGCGGGCAGTGCAAGAAATGATGAGCGTGGAAAAACAGACAGCCAAGAGGGACTCGCTTCGCTCCGGTTCGGATGTGCATACAACTTGTTTCGAAAACGCTGCCGACACATAATCCACAGTGGTGCTGTTCGTTGCGAGACTTTTCACAGAGGTATTGGTCGGCCGGTCAGAGCGCTCGATTCTGAGCAAAAGACCCATGGTCGGGAGATGGGGGGGGCGTGCTCCAAAACCAGCAGCGGCAGATGGTTTTGTATGTCGTACGTGACTGGTGACTGGCAGCACCGGTATTTTTTCGACCAACAAGTGGTTGTGCAGGGGGGTACGGAGAAGGTGATTTCTCCCTGGAAGGGGGCCATGACGAATTGTCGCCTTCATCCTCTAATGTAAACTACAGAGCGCGCGTCCAAGGTTGCGCGGAGAAAGCAAGTGCTGCTGGGACGAAATGACTGCGGCCGTCTTCCGGGTTCATGTAGTGGTGAAGAAGCACGGAGACAGATGTGTCACAGGTCGTGCTGAACACGAAGAGGGTGCACCACCGTCAGAGACAGCTCATGAATTCCCCAGTACGTACGTGCCCGTTCGGCGCGTACGCGAAGGGCTCCTCCGCATTCTCGCGCGCCCGGTGTCTCTGGCGGCGAAAAACCCGTATCATCTCTTGTAGTCGAAATGAGCAAAGCAAGCACTTCACTTGCACGACAGGAGAATTTGGTAGCGTTATTTACGGCGATGCGGAATGTCAAAAAGAAAGAAGCTAAAAAGCCAAAACGAGATGGAACATCTGTTCAGCAGCTCCCCCGACAAACTAACCCGCGTCAGGTAGCCGCCAGCGTGGTAAATATAGACGTACCCTTCCATCTTCTGCTGTGGTTGTGCTTGACTTTCGACCCTGACCCCACGGGCGTGTGCTTGGCGCAACGAGTGAGACCCTGACCCCGCAGCCCGGATGCACAGAACTAGCCCTACGAAAAGGTTGGTGGCATTCGGGCTAACTGCTGCGCCGAGCACAAGACCCCGGGGGCAAGAGCCGAAGGTGAAGCAAGAGCCACAGACGTGCACCACGGCCGGATGCATTAAATGGCCGTCCTTCGAGCTGCGGGGGCAGGGTGCCACCCTCTACACAAGCCCGCGGGGTCAGGGTCGAAAGTAAAGGCCAGGCAAAGGAAAAACAACAACAAAATAAATCTCAATTTACCACGCTGGCGGCTGGCTACCCGACGTGGGGCGGGCTGCCCCCGGCGCCGTAAATTCATTTCAACATTATACCTCGAGCTGGAGGTGATCTGGGGTCTAACGGAACCCAAATTGAGACGCTATGGATTGGGCATTGCGCCCCACAGCACGCAAGGTCTGACCTAGCGCGTACATGTACCCTGAAAAATTGCAGCGCATTCTGTGAAACACGGAGTTGCAGCTCTGACGATGGTGGGTGATACGGCGCTCGCGCAAACCTTTAGATGGACTCCAATATTTACCGTGGGTGTCACAGCCGCGTCTCCCATCTATCCAATTCGGTGCTTACGAGTTATTTTTCATTCATCACGTCACTCCGCACTGCCTGATCGCCTCCCTCAGCAGTCTATCAAAGTAACTGGGGCAAAAAAAGCCTCTCCCGCACCACGTCGGAGTAAATAGCCCCCTCTCTGTCTCGCAAACGGTGAACAAGTAAAACGCCATGTTATGCCGAAGGCCGTCAGCAGCAAACAGCAGCAACAACGCCTGCAGAAGTCGCCCGGAAAAACCCAATCCCAACCACCGACGTTCAACACTCCCACGTATTTACCAAGGAAGAGAAAACCTTCCCCATCCCCAGCTTACCGAGCCAGAAAACGACCCAGCAAAAGAAGGAGCACAAAGCGTTTGCCCCCCGAAAAGGCGCGACACGCTCAACTTGATCCGACGCAACAGCAGCAGGAGGACACGGCGTTCGCCCACCAAAACCCCGTCACTGACACACTCAACTCTGATCCGACCGCAGGCAAGCAAGACTTTGGTGATATCGAACTGGCATCCTTCCCCCGCGAAGAGGGAATCTGTCCAAGGTACACACTACCTCCTTCCTCGCAAAGCAAGTCTACGGCTCGAACTCATCATCATCATCATCATCATCACCTCCTTCCTCTTCCTTTTCCTCTTCCTCCTCATCCTCCTCCTCGGAACCGCTGCTGCTCTGGGTGTACTTAACCCGCGACACGGCGCTAGACCGGCGGCTCCTTCTCGCGGGACCCGATCTCACCGCCGCCGCCGCCGCCGCCACGTCCTCCCCCGAAGCCGGAGACTCCTCACCGGAATCCCCGTTCTCTTCTCCGCGACCACCCGTGTCGTCATCGTCATCGCTCGACGACGAAGACCCGGAGCTCGCCAGCGCTCGGCGGCGGCCTTTCCCTTTAGCGCTGCCGGCGGCGGCCTTTCTCTTCTTGCTCGAGGCCGGCGCGTTCTTCTCCTCCTTGCCGGAGCCCACCGTGACCGGCTTCCTCTTCGCCGCGGCCGGCGCGTTGAGGATAGAGAACGCCTCCACCCCTCCGGCACCGCTACCGCTACCGCTGCCGCTGCCGCTGCCACCACCGCCGTTCTTGCTGCTACCACTGCTTCCTCCCTCAACGGCAACGACGTCCTCGTCTCCATCGTCGGCCCCTCCTCTCTCTCCTCCCGCCCCTTCGTCACCGCTGCTGCTGCTGCTGCCACTCCCGTCCTCAAGCTCGCCATCATCCGAGTCTTCTTCTACGTACGTCTTAGTGCTCTTGGTGGAACGGCTACTGGTGCGTCGGCCGACCGTCTTCGTCGCTGCCCCCGCCGCCGCGGCCGACCTCCCTTCTCCTTCCTCTCCACCGCTGCCGCCGCCACCCCGCCCCCCGTTACCCGCGTCGTTGCCCGCGGAGGCTTTGCTTTCCGAGTCTCCCGACATGAGAGATGCCGGGTTCCCACCGCCGAAGTGTGTCTTGAAGTCGGCGGCCGTGAGCTTCGGCGCGGCATCGCCCCCGCCGGTGGCGTCACCGTCGTCGCCACCACCGCCTGAGGCCTGTTCATCCTCTCCTCGAAGGGACTACGCGTGATTGATGTGTGGAGGTAAAAACGGTGGTGGTGCAGGTAAGACCACAGTGTTGTTTACTTTGTGTTTGAGGAATCGTCTCCCTACAGGGCATTAGCAGTAGGCCACGCGTGCCTCGTGAGAGCGAGCAAGTACCGACGGGACACCGCTGTATTGTGACGGAACATCGTTGCGGTTCTGCCGCAATACCGCTGTGTGCTCGTCGGGCATGAAGGTGATCATAACACTTCACTGCTGCGGTGAAGAAATTCCGCCCCACGCACAACGAAGGAACCAAACCCAGGATATTTCCATGTATTCTGGACGACAGCTATTAAAAAAAAAAATGCAAGTTTTCTCCATGCATCAGCGGGAGTCACACCAGGAGGAAGGCAACACAGGAGGTACTATTTTCGCGGAGGGCTCATGGATCTTAGCAGACGGCTCTTGTACACCGCTTTTCGGCTACGCAGACGCCAGCCACCACAACAGTCGTGCACATACCAGCAAACAAGCGTATGCTAAACATGCACATAGCCAGCAGTCACCGAACGAACCCACCTGCAGCGACTCTGGCAGGGGAAGGGGTTCCTCGGACGGATTGTCTTCCTTCTTTCCCACCCAGCAAGCCTTGCTGAAGAACACGGCGGAGTCGAACACGTCGCGGCAGTCCATGCGGGTAGCGCGGCCGGCAGCCTTGTCCGCGTACAGCGTGAAGAACCTTCCCTTGGCGTGCACCGTGCGCCCCGTGCACTTCAGCCGACCCTGCAACACAGTCGAGGGCCGTCAAAAAATCGGGGTGGGGGGCGGGGGGGCGGGGAGCGGTGGGCCCAATTGTGCGTGCAGGAACTTTAACTCTACGGCAAAAAAGAGGGGATATTCCTCGGTGACAGCGTGGGGCCACGAGAGTGCGAGATGTGTGGAACCTGCACGTAACAATGCAAGCACCAAGTCGCCTTGTGACAATCCTCTTTGCTTCAACTGGTGGGGGGGAGTGGATAGGGTCCATCCTGGGGAGATTGGCGATCGGACACATCGGCCTACTAACCGAAATCGGTGTCCGTGGGGGGGGGGAGTCTAATTTCTAAATAATTGTGCAAGAGGCACCGTGGATAGAAACCCCTCTGCAGTAGGGGGGTGAACGACATATTCCATGAACGAAGCCCCCTGTGTAATTCCTTTTAAATATGCATAAAACAGAAATCGAAAGCAGAAGATTGCAGAGACAACGGCGTTGAAATCTGAGATTTGTGAGGAGTGAAAGACGAAATACTACTTGCCCAACGAGAGAGAGGCACCATGGAGACAGCGTGAAGTCTCTGAAATCTGACGATAGTACCACGTGGGTGCACTTGTTGGTCTGTCCCAAACAACCAAGATAGCGTCAGGCTGCTGCAGCCAAGAATTTCGGAGATCCATTCCGTTCAGAAAAACGCTGCCCTCCCGGGGGCGGGGGCGGGAGGGGGGGATGGCCGATGTTTCCGGAATTCACAGTACATCTACCGTAGAAGCAGCTGTCGTGTTGGGTAGTGAAAGCTTATCCCCACGACATGCGGAAGGGTGCAGCGGCACATGGATATGAAAGGCTTCAAAGATATACGTCGGTGTTTTGCATGAAACACAACAGCTACAAGTAGTATGGATATGCCTATTGTATGCATACAGTTTGATACACAGGGAGAACATGCCTGCCCGTGAACACAAGTTCTTCAGAAAAGAGAGGAAGTTGCGACTTTTTTTAAATTCAAACACTCGAGGCCAGAGCCGAGCCTCTGTCGTACCAAAAACGAAACTGCGCGCGCACCTCGGGAAATTCCATGTACAGCACCGGGTTCGCCGGTGTGGCATTGTTCAGCGTCCCAAGTTTGCCGCCGGTACTGCCGTTGCCGAGGCCGAGCGCGCCGGGCAGTACCATGAGCTGCCGCCCTCGTCCCCGCGCCTTGTTCTTCACGACATTCAAGCCGTCGCATTGCCGGAGGGTGGAAGACGGTGCGATGGCTGCCGGGTGATACTTGCTCGGCTCTGCTGTGCTTGCTGCATTGTTGTTGCCGTCGCCGGCACTGCCCGCAGACTCTTGCGGCAGCAGAGGGGCGTCAGCAGCACTGCTCTTCTTGCTGCGCTTGGTCGTCCTGTCTTCGGGGGGCGGAGCGATTTCAAACAGGAGCGATTCTGCGCCATTGTCGTGCTGGAACGTGTCACTGCCGCCGCCGTCCCTCTCTCGCTTTTTGCTCATGCTGAATTGGGTGCCGATTTACTCACTGTGACGAGCGTGTCCCGGTCGATCGGTAGCGTGTGTTCGAGTGACCGAGCGGTGGCGGGATCAAGTACATGCAAGACGGCGGGGTTGGACCGGCGGCAGGAGGGAGACACGCGGTTGGGATCGTCCGAGGGGATACTTCATCGATATCACGGAGCTCCCGTGCAAAATCTTAGACAGTCTAGATTCCTTCGCCACACCTGACCTTCACACCTGTTACTCTCGTCTTTATCTTCTGTCTCGTTATCACGTCTCTCTGGCGCTCTATCTACTCCGAAGTCTGGCACTCTCTGCAGAGTAGAGCCTGCAGATAGTAGTACATATTTAGTCTAAGGCGTACCATCCAGATCCCAAAAGTAAGTGACAAAATTGTAATGTACCGGGTTGATGATTTTTTTTTTTTTTGTTCTTTACTTCAAATCAGCGCTCACAGCACTAGTGCCGTTTACTCCAACCCGTGGTCACACAGAAGAGCCTCTCTCTACCCTCGCCTCCTGCGGTACTTCGCCTTCGATTATTAATGCGAGAAGAGTTCAGCACTCTCTTCCCTCTGTGTACACACGAACTAGCGCTATCCACTTGGCCAGGAGCGGAAGCGACAGAAAAACTCACTTTGCAAGAAAAGCTCGCCTACGCCGGGATTCGAACCCCTGACCTGACCTCTAGAAGGTTACGAGGCTACCAACTAGACCACCGGGGCGACCGGCTTGATGATTGGAAGCGACCGAGAGAGGATGATTCTGCGCGCAGAATGTCAAGGAAGGGCTCAAACAAGTCTGGCCACCAGGATTGCACCACAAAGAAGTGCCAATCTACGGCGTAGACGTATCTAAGGACGTGTGTGTGTGTTTTCGCGCTGCGGAAACGTATGACCTCCGGCTTCACTGTTGATCGTTCTGCGTTTCCTTGCCCTCAATATCGTACTATTACAGCAGTATGTATATGCACATGTGCATACGTACGTACGTATCTTTATGCATGCCTCCTTCGCCGGCGAGATGAAAATTTGCAAGAAATACCAGGCACGGGGGGAGATACGACAAGATTGGGACGCACCAAAACAACACACAATAATCTGGAGGTCAGGCCACAAAAAGTTGACCCTTCAATATTACAATATTACAGTCGGAGGTAAGGAATACTAGAATACTTTGAAGGCCAATAAAATTAATTTCGAAGTGGAGCTCCACCAGGTACAACGCGACAAACTCCAAGCTACGCGTTTTGAGCGTCTCTTAAGGTCCTATGGCAACATGCACTCTTTTGTATCACATCAAACGTCCCGCGGCGTAGTGCCTTCCCCTTTTGAGTCCCTGCCAACTCCCCACGATTCCTGGTCTCTACTTGACAGGTCATCTTCTTCCTCCTCCTCCTCGTTCCCACGCTCCTTCGTCTGATCGCAGTCTCCTCTTGTGAGCGGAACAAGCGGAGTTTTTGCAGCAGAAGCTGTCGTCGGTGTTCCTTCCGACCGCGCCGCTGCGTCAGGCGTTTGAGCATCCGACCCCTCGTTCTCCCCATCGGATGACACGTCAGAGCCGGTTGTAGACAAAGTACTTCGGCGAGGTCGTTGGGTGTTGCCCATCCTCCCAGTTCCGCTCGAAATTATGCTCGGTGCCAACATGAACACCCCGCTACTCGGGGCATTGCTACACGCGGCGCCATTGGCGTCGTCAGGTCGCTCGTCGTTGCGATCTTGTCGTTCATCTTCGTTACCTCTACTTCTTCGCTCGGTGCCTCCTATTGTTGCTGATAGTGCTGCTGAGGTTGCGCCTGCGGTTGGCGTTGTCAAAGATCGTTTGAGGTTATTACGGGCGATGCCTTTGTTGGCCACTCCACGCCCCCCCGCTGTCCCTAGCTTCTCCGCACCTGGCTGGCTGCTGCTGTTGCTGCTGTCGCTGTGTTCAACGTCGCCTTGCGACCGTCCCTGGCGTGACAACTGCTGCCGTCGCCTACGTTTCGTGTCGAGAAGCAACGGAAGAACGACAAGCCCGAGCCGTGAAGACCACATGGTCATCCTACCTGGTTTCTGCTGTCGTCCGTTCATATTTCAACTGAACAAGCACGCGCTGAGAATATAAACTGAAATGGAGATCAGATGTACATGCTCAGGGAGCAATACCACTGCGACTGACTATTTCCTTGAAAACCAGACACAATGGAGCGTATCTCTTACAGGCTCGGTGATTGCGGGAGCTTGAACCCCTCGGAGGAAGACTTGCGCAGCCTTGAGGGCGAGGATGGTCCTTGATGCCCGTAGCTAACGTCATTCTCGTGCTCTCCATCTCTCCTGTCTGCACCGCTACCGCCAGCGGAGTCTCTCTGCTTTTCCTGGAGCAAAGGACTACAGGATGACCGCGGCAACAGGTGGCCGGAATCGCGGCGATTACGATCGTCTTCGTCTTCTCCCTCTTTCCCATCCCAGGAGCCGCCCCAGCCCTGCCAGCTGCCGCGCCCCTCACTCCATCCGCCTCTACTTCTACTGTTGCCGCCGCCTGCGGTGCTGGGGGGAGACGTTGTGGGCCTCATCGAAGGTTGATAACGGGGCGAGTTATCGCTCCCACTGCCGCTCCCACTTTCCCTAGGAGACTTTCGTTCTTCCCGTTGGTGGTGGTTATCTCGATGCCTTCCACTCCCGTCGCCGCGCGGGCTGCTGCCCGTGCGTGGTCGCGCGGGCCTACTACCGCTGCCGTGACTCCCGTCGTTTCGGTAGGGATCGGTGTCCGCAGCGCTTCTCGGGCTCAGGGATGGCAAGATGCCCGTTCCCTTCTCCTCCCCAGGGTGGCCGTCGCCGCCACCGCCGCCACCGCCGCCGTCCCCATCACGCCCCTCTTGGTCTCTCCCCTCGCCATGGTCCCGTCTGTCGCCCTCCGGTGCTCCCTGTCCCCACGTCTCGTCTTCGTCGCTTTGTTGTTGCGCCGCCGCCGCCGCCGCTTCGCTTGCCGACCACGTTCGTTGACGGACCGTCCCCCGCCGTCGGTGTTCGTGCTGGCCGTGGTGTTGCAACGGCGGTGGCGACACAGATCTTGACGGGGCTTGCGACCTCTGCTCGCCGGCCGTCGCTGCCGGCCGCGAGAGGTGGTGGCTGAGGTCCATCGTTCTCGACTTCATCACGCCCGTACGGCTTCGGATTCCGCCCCCGCCTCCGCCGCCGCTCCCCCCACTCCCTGCTCCTCCCGTAATGCTCCCTCCACCACCACCTGGGACAGCGGCGGCCCCGCCCGAGGTGATGTTGATAGTGGTGGACGAGACACCGCCGAGACCGGACAGGGTCTTGCAACGGGCAGGATGGGTAGCACCGAGGCGAGAGTTCATGCGGATCATCGGCTTCGTTGTCCCGCCATCGCCGCCACCACCGCCGACGCCGCCGCCCCCCCCGCCCCCCGGGTGCGCCGAGCCACCGTTGGGGCTGCCCCGAACCGGGTGCATCGTCAGCGTAAAGTCCCGCCCACGCCCACCTGCTCTCCGAGGAATACGGGGCAGCATCGGCAAATGAGGGGTTCCTAACGAACTTCAGGCAAAGGTCGGAACGCTGGGTTTGGGGACAAAGCCCTTGAAGCACGGGTGGTGGTCGGCTCGTTGATTCCAAGTACATTGTACTGGGAAAAGCAAAGGGGGATGTGCACATATTTAACTTCCAACGAGGAGAGGGTCTGCGCGGGGGCACAACCCATGAATACTCAAGTGATCACCGCAACTACGTAGGCGGCCGTGCGCAATCTTGATCCCAACATGGCGGTGGGGGGACGCTTCATATGGGGTCTGCAAACACCGTCCGTGTCGTGTCGTGGGCACTTCGCCTTGCATCCCAGAGCTTGACGCGGTGGCGCTATTCTTGTCACCTCGTCCGACTCTTGAGTTGTGCGACTCGTCGCCGCTGCTGTCGCTTCCGCTGTGGTTGGCATCTCCCTCGGTCTGTTTGCAAGACACACCGATGCAAAGAAGAGTCGGTGCGACGCAGGTCGATGTTTTGTCACGCTGAACGAGACACCAAGGCTCTCTACCCAACGCGCACAAAGTGCAGTGACAACTACTGTAGTTCTCTTTTTTTTTTTCTGAAACGGGTGTATGGACTACGTGGGTCCCTTCCACCCAGCACGAACAAGAAGGGCAACAAATCGAGTACGCAGCAGGGTATAATTGGTCACAACCAACCTACTTTTACCCAACGTCGTTGTGGTGAGCAACGGAAACCTACCACAAGCGTGAGGTTTGGAACAAAATTGTGGCAACGTTGTGCGCTAGGGCGTGCCTAAATATAGTTCGCATGACACCCATATGTACACGGAGACGAAAGCCACAAGTAGACGTATGTGCGAATCATCCGTCCTCGATCGACAACTTCACACTTTCAATACAAGATCTTCTGGTAGAGAGCGCATCTTTGAGTAAATGTTTCTCAAAATCAAACGCGGAAAAACCTGAAATCGCATACCCCAACCTGGTCTACTGCCTGATAGGTTGAACCCCTGATCGTTCCCCAACTCTACACAACATAATACATTCGCGCGCGTACCGTGTGCGGAGAGTAAAATCGGCCGGCCCCGTCGCCGTCGATGCCCCCACCTCCGCCACCATGACCAGATGCCCCTCGTCCTCCTCCACCTCCTCCTCGATGTCCCGACGACGTCTTGCACTCGGCGGGGCCCGCAGCGCCCCGGAACCCCCCCATCGCTTCCGCATCACGCGGAACGCCTTTCGCCTCCTCCAAGTCCACCCCGGCGCCCGGCCACTGCTGCTGTCGCCCTGCCCCTCCTGACCCGGGTGACTTGGGCTCCAGAGGATCGAGCACGATCTGCGAGCGGCGAGGAGACGCCGGCGCCGACCTTCGCGGCGAGGCGGGCGCCTTGCAGTCTGCTAGGAGGCAGCAATCGAGCGGGACCGGCCGGACGCAACGGGAGAGAGGGAATTGGTTCGCTTCGTGCTGCTACTTCCCGCGGTTTGCTTCACGTTTGTAGCCTACAGCAGCGAGCGCGGGACCCAGAAGTGCGGCGTGCGGGCGGCAATGCCACTCCGGAGGGATTCGTCGACGCCACACACAACGTTACTGGGCACGTGCGTACTCCGCTCAATGTCGCGCCTGGAGAGGTTCCTGGCCGACCTTCTCGACAAACCTCTGCACCACCTATGTCCCCGGTTACAGCACGAAAGCGTATTCTTTCTTGCAGTGTGCTGAATGCTGAAAGCACGCTTAACCTGCCCTAACACGAGACCCTATACAAAATTCTATACCGTGGTGGAGTTTAGGCCCCCTGCAAACGGAAAGTGCAGGAAGAATAGCTTACGGCGCAGCGTGAGTAGACACCCTTGTTTTGTCCAACTAACTGCGTTGAGATCGCCACCGCTACCCTGGGGATGCAAGACTCGTATCTTCTTACAACGTACAAACTTGGGCCCTGAGTTTCACACGCTGGGAGTGCTTTACTTCGATTGGTCTTCACCTGGCGGGGTGCCCGACCTCGTCAATAACGGGGCCAACAGCCGCGGGCTGTTCGACCCCCCCGTACCCCCGCGTGACCCAGTCGATAGCCTGGGAGAGCCGCCGCCGCCGCCGCCGAAGGATTCACGCGGACTGACGCTTGCGGCGCCAGTCCCCTCATGAAACGCGTCTCGCAGCCCACCGCGCCCCTCTTGCCTCCCAGGCTGATTTTGAAAGCATCGTCGTGTGAACTTGGTCAAGTTGAAGTGGGGTTTGGGGTGAGTGCAATCCGATTGGTAATTAGCCAAGAATGAGTGGAGACTCGATAGAGGGCAGAGCGCCCGGTATCGCAGGGAGACGGACCGCGTGTGTGCAAACCTGTGCGGCATGCAGGACGGCCTCACCCAAACCGCAATGAACTACCTACCTGGTTGTCGAGCGATGTGACATTTCGAAACCGAAGCCAGCTGTGGTTGAAGATCTCGGGGATCGACGCGCGCTCATTGGGGTCCAGCTTCAGCATCCTCCTCAGCAGATCCTGGATTTGACCAATGGAATAAACATCACAAGGACAGTTCCCATGCGATACACAGCAGTTGCGAAGAAACGCCCACAAGCAAGAATGACGAACAGTGGCTACTCGAAACGTTACGGGCGTGGGCACGTCAAGCCGCTGACGACGTGGGAAAAGGCTGGAGAGAGTTCGGGATTGAATAAAAAACGAGAACCAGGGCGTTTCCGACGGTTGTTAGTGAGCGAAAATTGCTAAGGCCGGGACACGACACAGCAATTGTGCGTCAGCGCGGATCGAAGGTTGCCACGTAGTCCAATTTCAAGATTACCCCCCCCCTCCCCCCC